ATCTCACACAATACAGGAAACCAAAGCAGGACCCAGAAAAGGACAGACTTTCTCTTTTATAACAAACCTCTCTCAAGAATCAGGTTCTACAAGAATTACATCAATTTCTTCTGAAGGCATCACCCTCAATATGAATTATTTCCCTCTAGGACCTACTCTTAAACGTCCCACATCACCTTCCAACACTGCCACACTGAGGATCAAGCTCCCAACACATTTAACTCTTGAAGGCTACACTCAAACTATATCTAAAGCACAGCAGTTCCACAAGTACATAAATAACCAAATTCATCAAACTGTACACTTAACTATGTTCAGTTTATTATGCAGCAATTAAACCTCAACAAAACTCTAATAATGGAGGCACAGGCCTATAATCCCAGGGACTCAGGAGGCTGTGACAAGAGGATGGCAAGTTCAGGGCCAGACTGAGCAACTTAAAGAGATCCTGTCTTAAGGGTAGCCCCTGGGTTCAATCCCTAATGGGGAGGGGGCAAATAATGCAGATTTAAACAACCAAATATCAGTACTCAATTACCAAAATGGCTTTAAAATGTACTAGATAGAAAAAATTGTAAGAATACCAGTAAATGGAATTCACATTCCTCGCTGTTAGAAATGCAAAATGGTACTTTCATTCTGGAAAACAATTTGGCAGTTTCTAATAAAGTTAAACATACTTACCATATGACCCAGCAGTCCTTCTTCAGGGTATTTACCCAAGAGATGGAAATTTAAGTCCACACAAAGACCTTACATGAATATTCATAGTAGTCACAAAATGAAAACAACTCAAAGGCCTACCAACCAGTGAATGAACAAACTGATACATCCCTCTGTAAAATAGCAATACAAACTTCAAAGGATTCTTGTGAGGACACAGGGAAATGTTAAAAAAGTACAAAGTAAATTATAAAGCATGATAAAGAGTATCACTTTAATCACTGCTTACTCAAGGAAGCAAAAGTTGTACTAGTAGAAAATACAAATTATACAGTATGTAGCCTTCTCTGTCAGGAATGTTTCACCCGGAATAATGCTTTAGAGATTTATCTACCTTTGTCATATGTATCTGTTCATTGCCTCTTTTTGTTTGGTGTTAGTATATTTTAAGATATGAAAATTATACCTCAATAAAACTAGAATTCTTAAATTCAATAATATATAGCAAAATACAGATAATTTTCAGCCAACTTTCATAGGCACCAATATAATCTCATATCCTAAATTGTTGTGGTATGAGAAAAAGAACACAGAACTCAAAATCAGAGTCCTGAAATTTAAATCTACCCTTTGCCATTTAACAGTTCTCAGATCCTGGACACTTTATTTATTGGTAAAACAAAGGAAATAATATAAACTTCACAAGATCCTTCTGAGAATGGAAAGAGAAAAGTTGTACTAGTAGAAAATACAAATTATAATGTAAATTATAAAGCATGACACAGTATATTTATATTAATCACTGCATGCTCAAGGAAGCAAAAGTTGTGAGTGGAAAAATATTCACAAATAATGCTGATCACTTAAGAAATTGTGAACATCCCCTATCTCTTATTAGCCGTGTGACCCAACACAAGTTATTTAATCTCTGAATCTCAGTTTTGCCATCTGCAAAAATGGAGCATATTAGCAGCACATGCTACATATAGAAAGAATTAAAATAGCGAATACGTGTAAAACACTTAATGTAGTATTTTATAAGTTTTCAATATTAGTGTGGTAAATTGGTCTCATTTAATGAATTGAAACTAACACATAATGATGTCCATATAGTTATTTAGATTTCCTTAGTTTTACCCTTCTGTCCTTTTTCTTTTCCAAGATCCCATCTATGATACATTCTATAGTAATTTCCTGGAGAGATTTTATTAAACTTGGGAGTACTGGATCCCAACCTTAGATATTCTAAATTCAGCAGGTATGAGGCAAAGCCCTGAAATTTACATATTTAACAAGTTCCCAAGGGTTGCTAATGGGGCCAATCTGAAAATACAACTAGAATTGCATTGATCTAGATTTTAGACTCCAAAACTGTTACTCAGTACAGTTGCTACTAGCCAAAGTGGCTATTGAAAACTTGAAATCTGAATAGTGTAAACTGAGTTGTACTGTAAGTGTAAAATACATGAGATCTCAAATACTTCATCCAAAAACCATGTAATTTCCATACTGATTACATGTTAAACTATTTCAGATATACTAATTAAGTTAAATTAAATCATTAATTGATTTTACTTGGGCTTTTTTWAACTTGTTTACTTTTTAGAATATGAGTACTAGAAACTTTAAAATTACATTGTGGCTGGCATTGTGTTTCTATGAGATACAGCGTTATGTGTGGTCAGGGCAGAAGAATAGCATCCATATGACTTCAAGACATTAGAAGTTAAGGAGATTCCCATGTAAATTAAAGCTTAATAAAACCCATTATCAACAGGGGATAAAGGCTTCAAGCATTTGGCAGTTCTGTTCAAACATAAGTCAACTACAAAATTAAACTTCAGGATATTAAGTCAATAAAAGCCATATGAAAATGACTGAATCATGGTAAAGCCATCCCCAAATGGCACAATTACACCAGTTAATTCAAAAAAGGGCACAGAATAATGGCTGGTGCACCCATAATCCCAGCAGCTCAGAAGGCTGAGACAGGAGGATCACAAGTTCAAAGCCAGCTTCAAAAACTTAGCAAGACCCCATCTCAAAAATAAAAAGGGTTGGGGATGTGGCTCAGTGGTTAAGCTCCCCTGGGTTCAATCCTTTGTCCCAAAAAAAGACACAGATGGTGGCCCAATGAGTCCTCAAGTAAGAATTATTTGAAGTATAATGATGCTATGTGATATCATGAAAAGGTATCATGATACCTTTTCAAAACTGTTTCATTCTACAGAACAGTGAATAGTCACAATTATGACTAAAATTGTTAAACAGAGTATGATAAAACCTTAATTTTGTCTCCAACTATTTATTATRAAATGGTAATGTCCATTTTCTCACATAAATGCTACTGTTTAACGACTACAGATTACCACTATTCACTTTTAGTCACTTTGAAATCATGACCCTTATTATGCTCAGCATTGTCACTTGCATAACTTGAAGTACTTAAATCTATAAAGCTTCAGCCTACTTCTAAAAAGCACTGAGTAAATATTTTCAAATTAATGAAACAGAAGCCAAATGATTAACTACAAATAAAATACTGTTTTTCTACAGCACTTACATACATTCACCTTTGCATCACAAGTAGTATAGCAAATTTTAAAACCTAAAAATACATACAGTATTGATTATATAAGCACAACTAACCTACACAGGTGGCATAACATTAAGAATCAATGAGCAATCTTCAGCTTCTATTGATAGAACAAAAGTGTATCAATAGATACTGAGGCTTATACATAAACATACACATATAATCTGTCATATTATGCTTTATTTCCTTATTTACCCCCAACAAAGAAACACCTCTAGAGCAGCGGAACATAGAGCTAGCTTGGCTTGCTCTTCAGGTGGCACAGATCAGGGTTATGCCTTCTCTGCCTACTCTTAGGCACTGCTTTGAGCTTTCAAATCCTTGCTCCAAAACGTTTCCAAGGGAATTTTAAAAACAAAGAGACAAATATTGCACCAGCAGCCAGACTGGGTGCTCAGACGAGGAGAGGAGGAGCAAGGATGACCCTTTCTGTAATATACCCTTTTAGGGAGCAAGTTTAAAAAAAAAAAAAAAACTGGATATGGACAAATAAATACATCTCTGGGTCACCATTTCTCCACTTTTTAAGTAGGAAAGAGGCGGTATACTAGGGACTAAATACTTTTTAACAATATTTTTATTGCAACATTCTGAGTCTTCTAAGGTCTCACCTCAACAACTTGGATAGCAGATCTAAATAAGAACTTGAGTAACTCTTAGTTCAATATTCCTTTCCTCCACATTACCTGCCTTTTAGGAATGTGTGCCTAGTCAATAAAAGCTACTTCCGCATGTCATCATTAACCATAAAGTAAGACAAAACCAGTCGTGTATCCGTGTTGAAAGCCTTTTTACCCATAATAAACCTCACTTGAAATGACATTAGAACTTTCAATGAAGGTATACTTTAAACACTCCGCTTTCGTCTTTGCAAACGCATTTTAAACTGCTGCTGCAAGCAAAAGGAAAACATCACACGCTTCTAAAACCGAAGGCCTGTGCCTTTTTCTCTAAGGACGACAGTGTGGCCTTTTCTTGTCAGAGGGTCTGCAGTAAGACAAGACACAACACGTAAAGACACCCATTCTAGGAAGACCAGCAACTACCCCGGGATGGCAAGAGGGCAGCAGCCTTGTAAAGAGGGTTTTGTTGTTGTTGTTGTTTAAATTCAAGGACTTTGAGGAGATTCCTCCAAGCAGAGCAGGAGGGTAGCAAAAGCCTATCGAATAGGGGTGGGGCACCTCTTAAGACTGCAGAGAAGTGCGGCCCCGTTTAAGGTCAACGCTCCCAGGGGAGGACCCAGGTGGAAGGACCCAGGTGGGAGAACCCAGGTGGGCGCTCCAGGTGGGCAGAGAATTACCTACCCTACAGCAGTTAGGAAGCCGGCAAACAGAACCGCCCTCCAGGGAGGGCAGCTCCAGGCTGGCCATTTACACTTACACACACACACACGCACACGGAGACACCCTCCCTCCCGGGGGCGGGGCGGCGGGCGCTGCCCGCACACAGGAAGTCAGAAAACCCAGGGAGCAAAAGAGCCATAACTTAGGGCCATTTAAACCCTCCCGACCCTCTCGGCCAATCGGCTGGCAACCGCCTCCCCTCCCCGGACGCCCACCCCAAGCCCCGACTCCTCTCGCCGCGCTCGGCCTCACCTCCCGCCTTCGGCGCCGCCGCGCCTCCTGCACACGCCTCCCCCAGTCCTGCCGCCCGCCGCGGGCACTGCCCGAGCCCAGAAGCCTTTGTGCAGCGCCTCACCGACCTGCCCTCCGTCTGGGGCACCCGCACCCGGCTTCCTTACCGAGGGCCCGGCGGCCTTGCGGCGAGAGACCCCCTCCTCAGCCAGCACGGTGGGCGCGGAACACCTAGGCGAGCCTGGAGAGCGTTCCCTCGGCAGCCTTGGCCGGCGCGTCCCTGCAGCCTGGTCTCTCAGGGAGGGTAAGTTCCAGGGCACGTCGAAGCGCGCCGGCGCGGGGGCGGGGCGGGGAGTGGGGGCGGGGCGGGCGCGCTCACGTGACGGCGGGGGCGGGGCGGACTCACGTGATGGGCCGCGCGGTCGGGCGCGAGACTCCTGAACGGGCTCGGGTGGGCACCGGGTGGCGGCGCCTCGGGATCTGGGAGAGGAGGGGCCGAGTCGCGGGAGGGGCGAGGGACTGGAGCGGGCGAGAAAGCTGGCGGCCAAGTGGGCGTAAGCACTTTGTAAACATGAAGTGGGAAGTGTTGAGAAAACGCTCGCGGAGACAAGAATGGAAGGGCGCACGGGAAGTAGATGAAGTAGTAGGGTGGCAAGAATGGAGCCCAGGGAAAGAGTGGGGCCTGGACCCTGTCCGCTCCCTTGGCGCCCTGGCACCTACTGCCAGGCTTAGGTCAGTTGTTCAAAGGCCAGGAAATCCCACTGGTAAATTCAAAAATTGCTACACTCTGCCTTAGGGGAACCAAGTGGAACTCTGGGGACTTTGAGTCCATTACCAGGTCTGTGCTCAGCTATCCTTGGCCTAGACAACCAGAGCAGAGTGCTGGACCAGCTGTGTTCACTCAAGGCTGAGGAGACCCCTGGGACCCATGGATGGAGGCTCCAAGCTCAGCACCAGAGCAGTGTGACTGCTCATTAAGGGGTCCATGACCCCAGCCTTTAAGGTCCAGTATCATTGGCCAAACTCATTCCAGTTTGCARCATTTGCATAGTAGCATAGAGCCCGGAAATCATAGGCATTGAAGGTTTTTGATGGTGATTCTGTTGGAATGATGAAAGAGCTTTGCTGGAATGGGAATCGGAAGAGAGACCTGGCTTCCATTAATTGCTGCTTCACACAGTGGACCTCAACTACCAGATGAGAATGTTGACTTAAATTTTCTTTTGTCTAGCTGTAGAATTTAAAAACTGGGAAGAGAAACTGAGAATTATTGGGGCTTCAGAAATCACTCGTTCTTTATCCACTTGTTTATTGTGACTATTGTGACACCAGGATGAAATTTTAATAATACAGAAAGAAAAAAATAAAAACCAGGATATGGTTCAAGAGCCAATCTCTGGAGTTGCCTTTTTGCTGTGCTTCATTTTATAAAATACCGATTTATATATATACCCCCCCTTCCCAGGACTGGGGATTGAAACCAGGGGCACCCTACCACAGACTTATATCCTCAGTCCTCTTGTTTTGCTAACTTGCCCAGGCTAGCTTCAAACTTTTTGTTCCTCCTATTTTAGCCTCTGGAGTAGCTGGGATGATAAGCATATGCCACTGCACCGGGCCCCACTGTCATTTAAATGATGCAAAAAGTCCACTAAGATGAGACTGGAGATGTAGTTCAGTGGTAGTGTTTGCCTAGTTCATGCCAGACCCTGGGTGCAATTCCTTGTATTCCCCAGGGAACACAACTGGGATGTTGACAAGACTTTGACAGCTATAGCCAACAGCCTTCTACTAAATTAAATCTAATGGGTGCTAACTTTTCAAGAGATTCTCCTCTTAGAAAGATGCTTAAATTAAGAATTTAAAAAAATAACTCTGAGACTATACTGTATCTTTGCACTTGCTATTCCCTTCACATTTTTCGTCTTTTCTTAGTTTCTAACATGTTCCCTTTTCCATGCCCTTGTTCAGCATAATAGATCATCACTGCTGTCTGCTTCTAAAACTATTTTCCATGGAATCTTCTTGTGATCTCTTTCTATAACCTAAACAAGGACGGACTGCAAAAAGGAAACTGTGCCCTGATAGGAATGTGCTGATAACCTTGTCTTGCCTACTCCCCAAACCTGAATTGGGCGCCCTTAGTTTCAGCAAGATATAGAAACGAACAGTTTGCATACACTTGCAAATCTGCTTGTAACTCCATTTCCTATTTCACAACCTAATCTCAGATGATACCACAATGCCCACAGTATGCTGATCACTACCAACAGCAGATGGAGTCAGATAAAAAGAGCTCTCTCACCAGTGTGTTGTTTAAAAGGACCTGATGGAGAGTTATGAAATCATATGCAACAGTGCCTCTAGTTTTTAAATAACACTTGTAGCATATGTCTGGAACCGGTACTCAGGATCTCAATAGATCATTTTCAGGATTTTGACATTTAACTGGCTTCTCAGGAAGAAGCAGAGAGTTCCAAAATGTAGAACTCAAATGTAAGTTCCACACCCAGGCAGGAATGTGAGTCTGATTTGTTTGTGAATGTATCCCAAGTGCCTAAAAGCTCTTGGCACAGGGTAGATCCTCAAGAAATTCTGTTGAATGTATTTTTGAGTGAAAATGAGCTCTGCAAGTTGCTGGATAAATTTGTCCCACTTTCTTTCTAATTCTTTAATAGGCAACCTACTTTTTATTGTGTATTTCTAAATGGAAAACCATTAATTTATATCTGGCATCACGACTTTGGCTAGGCTTTAGGGAAAAGGGAATTTGGCAGTATCTATCAAAATTAAAAATGCATACATACTCAGAATCTCCAATTGCACTTCTAGGGATTTGTCCCAAAGAGACATTTCCACATATAAGAAATGATAAGGTATTCCTAAAGTGCTACAGTTTGGATAAGTAACCCCAAAGATCCAAGCTTGGTTCCCAGGACAGCTCTATATGGAGATAGTAGAATCTTTGAAAGTTAGGGCTAAAGTGAGGCCTTAAAGTCATGTGGGGGAGGAGGGATCACTGAAGGAGATTGTGAAACTCTGTTTATCTTTCTCTTTTTTGCTTCCCAGCCATAAGATAAGCAGTTTTGCTTTAGCCATGTGTTCCTACCATTATGTGCTGCAGCCTCACCAAAGACTCAAGTCAACAGGACCTACCAATCAGGAACTAGGACCTCGAAAACTGTGAGACAAGAATAAACTTTTTTTCTCTCTCTCTCTCTCTTTCCATCCCCCACTTAGTGTTTGGGGTTGAACCCAGGGACACTGAGGTACATCCCCATTTCTTTCTGGTTTTTATCTTGAGACAGTGTACCACTGAGTTGCTGAGGGACTTGGAAAATTGCTGAGGCTGGCCTTACACTTGAGATCTCCCTATTTCAGCCTCCCAAGTTACTGGGATTACATTGTACACCACTACACCCTGCTCTTTATGTTTTGATATTAAGATTTACAAGATATTTTTAAATGAAAAACAGCATAAAATGATATAGAATAATTTATTAGCTTATATGTATGTAAAACTAGGATAAACTTATATTAAATATGCATACTCAATGAATAGGAGGCATAGGAGGTGGACATTTCACTCCACTTATATTTAAATGTTTTGATATTTGAACCATGAGAATAACCTATTTAAAATGTTTAATTTAAAATTTTTCTAGCCCAGCTCTGTGACGGACTTGGGTACAATCCCCATTACCACAAATATTAATAATAAAACAAACTAAAAATTTTCTGGTACCTTTATTTTATTATTAAAACTATAGGTTTCCATTATTTTATTAAATTTACCTGTAGCATACACATATCAGGCAAACTATCACACATATCCAGCAAACTTTTTAAAGTTTAGAGTTCTTTACCTTTAGTTCAGATTGACACAATCTGTTCCTGACAGTAATAATTTAAGCTCCAAGTGTTGCAGTTAGGGATTTACCATACATTTTACCAAATGTATGTGAATATTCAAAGGTGCTTTATTTTTCTTGAAGTAGAACTTTGCCTGAAAAGGTTTTAATGAGTTGTACCCTCTGTTTTAAACAATAAAATTAGAATTTTATGGACCATTTATTGCCTGCTAATTAAAGTCAAGAAAAAATACATTTTGGCCAGGTGCTGTGGCACACACCTATAATCCCAGCAGCTCAGGAGGCTGAGGAAGGAGGATGGTGAATTCAAAGCCAGCCTCAGCAAAAACAAGGTGCTAAGCAACTAAATGAGAACCTGTCTCTAAATAAAATACAAAATAGGGCTGGGGCTAGGGCTCAGTGATTGAGTGCCACTGAGTTCAATCCCCAGTACCAAAAAAGAAAGAAAAAAATACATTTTGGAAAAAACACTAAAAGCATGTGTTTCTATGTGTAATGCACTTGCCCACTTTGTTATGTCAACTGCCTCCTGTTTCCAACAGTTACACAAATGCCCTGTGAATTATTTTGACTGTTATATTTCAGTATTTGGTTACATTTATTTGTGTGTTTAGTTTTCAGAAACCTCAGAAAGAATTTTGACTATAATACTACTCAAATTTTAAAAACATCATTTCTTTAAGGATTATTAATATTTTATTATGAAATCTCACTATTTTTACTATATTTATTCACATGATCAGTTTTATAAATTGCCACCCAACCTGATTTGCCCAAGAAAAGAAAATTAGTAATTGACCTTTAAATAAGTTATTACCAGTCAATAATTTTGATATATTTTAATTGTTAATTGTCTCTACTATTATCCTTTAAATTTAAAATGCACTGATATGGTTTGCAATAGAGCTCAGATACAGGCACTATGCAGTAATTGATAACTCATTATTTAAGACTATTTATCTTTCATAAAATCTATTTACTACTTGTCATAATTAGTAGAGCGATATTTCTAGGTAAAGAATAGCTAAGATAAGAAATCATATTTTTTTATTTTTTAATAATGAAACAAGGCAAGGAAATAGTACTGGAGGTTCTAGAAACATCTATTAATTTCTATAAATGTATGTAATTTGTTATAGTAGATAAACATCCAAACAAATATCATTACTAAAAGCCATATGATTTGTCTATCAGGATGGGTGGAGGATTAAATTAAATAACATATCTCAGCACATTCTTATCAGGGTACAGTTTCCTTTTTGCAGTCTGTCCTTGGTTTAGTTTTAGAAAGAGAAAACAAAGAAATATACGGGAAAGAGCCTCAGAAGCACACAGCTAAAATAATGTCAGAAGAAAATCCGGGCAAATGGTAGGTAGTCAGT